TTTCATCATATAGGATATATCCCTTGTTTACATTGCTTATCCTAGCTTATATATTTTGTTATATTTCATACTTGCTAGGATAACTTGTTAATAAGTTTTAATTGGCATTTAATCGGATTAGATTAGCATAAGACCCTAATCACCCCCCCTCTAGGGTCTAACAATTGGTATCAGAGCTTGGTGCTCTTTGATTTAAGGTCTAATCGCCTTGAGTTAAAGATCCAAGTTAGCTTATTATGCTAATCTAATTTTGAGCTTTATTTGTATCTTGCTTGCCTTTTATATTATGGATATGCATGGTTTAGGTTATGCCATTAATATTACTCCTAGATTAGATAATTTTTCCTATACCCAATGGTGTGTTAGATTTAAACTTTTTGTTCAATCTAAACACTTTGATTTATGGGATATTAAATGCATTTGATTCATTTATGTTTAACAAGCTTGATTATTTTGATAGCGCTTATACAGTATGGAAATTCATAGAAGCGCATCAAGGAGATTTGGAGGCGATCCGACAAGCTTTGGAGGATCCCGCTTCAAGTTTAAAAGAGGCATCATGCACACGGCCACTAGGCGATAGCCCTAGTGAGGTTTGCGAGTTCGAAACCATAAATGATTTACCTAATGATGAACTTTCATGTGCTAGTGAAAAGTTATTACATGCCTTTAACAAATTGCAAAATGATTTCATTAATTTACAAAGCAAGCATGAAATTTTGAAATCCGATCATGAGTTGTTAGCATTTAAGTTTGAAACTATTTCTAATGAAAATGTGATCCTTAAAGAAAACAATGAAAAATTAAAATTGGATCATGTTTCTTTCACTTCAAACGTTGCTAGTTTAACTCATGAAAGAGATAATGCCATGTTAGAAGTAAAGAACATACAAAATAATACTGCTTCTTTTATAAATGACTATTTATGTTCTACTTCTAAAAATGCATATGTGCCTAAAAATGAAGATTTGAATCTTATGAAAAATAGTATTTCATCTTTAGATTCAACTTTGAAAATATGCATTAATAACCATAAGAAGCTTATGGACATGTGTGCCAAGACCAAATCAAAATCATCCACTCATTATGCACACATGTATAGCAAAACTTATAAGTGTTCTATTTGCGGCCGTCAAGGTCATTTAGCTAAGTTTTGTTATGATGCACACAAACATAAGAATTCTAATGCTCCTTGTGCATCTCATGTAGCTTCTTCATCTTGTACACTTACACATTCACATGCTCATTCTCACAAAGTTCATCATAAGCATGCTAGTGTGTTCAAGTGTGATTATTGTGGTCGTTTTGGTCATTTGGCCAAATATTGCTTTGATTTGAAAAGAAAATCTCAACATTATTTTAAAATGTTTCTCATTTGCAAAATAATCTTAAAAGACCATCTTTATTTGCAAATGTTCCACGTGCACCTTTTAATGGTCAACATAAGCAAATGCTTCCTTTCCATTGTACATATTGCAATCGGAAGGGTCATTTGAGTGATTATTGCTATGACCGATCCTGTGCACCACATGGGCCTAAAAGGGTTCATAACCCTAGGGTCTTGAGCTTAAATGATAGGGGTCATGTCCCTAAATCTTTTGGTACCAAGAGTTCTTGGGTACCAAAACAATTTTGAATTTTAAACCAAGAATTTTAATGTTTTTATCCTTCTTTTATGCTTTGAAACTTTTTATGAAAACACTTCTTAAATTGATCAAATCTTTTGTTTTCATGATTATTTGTTTCGATCTTGGTGAGAGGACTATGTTTATATAACCCTCCGGAGTTATTGGGTGTTTATTCCCAAATATTGTTTACCGGGTGCTAAAAATATTTATATGGGTTGTTACTAGTTCAAAAGCTAGGTATGGTTGCCTCTCTTGATTTTTGAAAATCAATGATGGTTTGGTTTTATGTGATTGGGGTTGATTTATGATTTCATTTGATTGATTTGTTTTCATTTGAAAACTTTTTACATAATTCTCATGTTTCTCTTCTTTTGACTTCATAAATCTATTTTATACATTGGCTTTTATGATATGAGACAATATGTTCATCTTGATATATTTATATATGTTCTCATTGTCTTTATGTATGTGAGTTGTGTTTAGCATATTTTCCATCTATGCTTGCTCACATATGTTTGCCATGATCTTCATTGCATATATTCTATATGGCTTTTTGATAGGGGGAGCTATTCCTTATATTTGCTTTGTACTCACCCATGCTTATTGATAGGGGGAGCTTTCGCTCTCTTCATACCTTTGTCACCTTTTTAATGTTGTCAAAGGGGGAGAAATATTATGAGTATACATTTTTTCTTGTTTATATGCATATGAATTATAATTTATATATTCATTTCCTTTCATGCATATATCCTTTTTGTAAATTATTTGTCATCATCAAAAAGGGGGAGATTGTTGGCCTTCTTGTTTTGATGATGATTTACAAACAATTTACTACTAATGTTGTTTGTCTAGTGTTTGTGTATTCCTATGTATTGTAGACAAACAACGTAGTTGGAGGATGGATGGAATAGATCTTCAACGATGATATCCAATGGAGGTTGGCAGAATGTCGGGTTGAAGCCTTGCTATTCATAGTTGAAGATCAAGTTCAAGCTTCATCCGCACGTGTACTAAGTTGAGCTCAATGAAGATCAAGATCAAGCTTGGGTAATTTAGTTTAGGAGTTTATATTATGTGTGTTAGTACCTTAAGCTCAATTATCATATACACACACATTTATTGGTTTCTTTGTATATATATGTAGTCACATATATATACAACATAAGTTTTGGTTTTCATGTTTATAAATATGAAATTACATGTTTCATATTTATTATTGTGATTTGGTTTATCTACATAGATATGAAACAAATATATTTTCATATACATACTCCTATGTTTCATTCTCTAATATATTTGTGAAAATATCATATTCTTAGTTTTTAGACTTAACCATATTCATATACATATTTTATTAAGTCTATATAATCACTGTGTAAAGTTTCAAAACATGGCTTAGTCAAAATATCAAAACTCACATGTTTACATTTTCGTGTTTTGGACTATTTTGCAAAATGATGATTTTTTCACAAATGGGAAATGCAATTTGAAAAATTCTTTTTGTAACATGATTTTTTCATGTTTATATACATTTCCCAAAGTTTTATTATTTTTGGACTTCATTTGTTATTTTTAACAATTTTCCAAAAGTTTCAAAAAATAGCTTTAAAAACCTGTTTTTATATATGTCAGTTTTCGGTCGACCGAACCGGTCGACCGAACCTGAGTTCTCGTGCTCACTGGGCGACAGAGAGTCTGTCGATCGACCGGTCCGGTCGACCGATGAAATTTTCCGGTCGACCGATGAAATTTTCGGTCAACCGACAGTATCTTTTTCAGCTTCCAACGGCTAGTTTTCTTACCGTTGCTTGGGGCTGTTTTTGTCTTTACCGACAGTATCTTTTTCAGCTTCCAACGGCTAGTTTTCTTACCGTTGCTTGGGGCTGTTTTTGTCTTTTTATTTGGGATTTTTAGCTGAGGTTTTGGAGGATATAAATACTCTCTTTGATCTTAGTTTTCAACAATCTAAGAAGTTTTTAAACAAGTTTTAAACAAGGGTTTAAGTGTGTTTAAGGGTTTGTTTTGTTTGTGAAGAAGTTTTCACAAGTGGAGGAGATCATCTTCTTGTTTGGGCTTCAATCTCCATCTCTCCATCTTGTTATTCAGAGAAGAATCTCTAAACTCATTTCTAGCTATTTATTATTTTGTTTATAATTTCTATATGCTAGATTTTAATTGAGTTTAGTTTTGATTTTGATTTCACTCATTGTTTACACACACCCACTTGAGCTTATTGTATTTGCATTCATAATATATTAGGGTTGTGAGTTCTCATCCATAGTTGAGAACAATCATTTGTTATATTGTGCTTATTGTGAGAATCACTTTGTAATACAATTTTACACCGAGTGAGGAGTGTGTGGTGAGAGTCGGGGATCGTCCCAAGAGGAGTGGCGTCGGTTGACGTGTCTAGGGAGAGGTTGTAACCGAGCACTTGAGGGAGACACGGCTAGGTCCAACACTTAGTGGGTGTAGAGTGTGATTGCAAGAGTGTGAGTTGTAGAGTTTTCGGTTAGCTAGAAAACCGAGTGTGTAGAAGTATTGTTTACCCCTTGTGTTAGTTTATATATCCTTGCATATATATATATTTCATCATATAGGATATATCCCTTGTTTACATTGCTTATCCTATCTTATATATTTTGTTATATTTCATACTTGCTAGGATAACTTGTTAATTAATTTTAATTGGCATATAATCGGATTAGATTAGCATAAGACCCTAATCACCCCCCCCTCTAGGGTCTAACATTCGGGAGGTTGATGCATGTAGTTGGCGTGGATTTAGCATTTGTGGCAGCGCTTTGCGTAAGCGACCGCGTCGCTAACCATCCCAGGCCAAAAGTAGCCTATCCTCCGCAGGCAATCCCAAAGCTTGAGTCCAGGCTGATGAGCCCCGCATGTACCATCATGGGCTTCGCGTAGGGCCTCCTGCGCCTCTGCCTTTGAAAGACATCGAAGCAACAAGCCGTCGTATGACCTCCGATATAGTGTCTTGGTGGTCGAATCATAGTAGAACCTCGAGGCACGTCGTCGGATAGACTCTCATTCCCTTGCGTCTTCAGGCAACATGCCGTATAGAACGTAATCGATGATCGGGAGACGCCAGTCTTCCTGATCGGGCTGATCCGGGGTTTGATGGGTGGCGTTCGCTTCTGGGACGTCTTTTAGTCGAAAGAGTTTTCGGCTGGCGACCTTGACTCGTTGGGTCGTTCCTAACGGTTGGGCCAAGTTAGCCGCCAAGGATGCAAGAGCATCCGCATGCGTGTTCTTGGAACGGAGCACGTGCTCAATGTGGAAACTCTCGAGTGACTCCACTCGTTTGATAGCCGCTTTGTGGAACGGGATGAGATCGTCGTTCCTGACTTCATATTAGCCAGTCATTTGCTTAACGATGAGTTGGTAGTCGCCGTAAGCCTCAAGATGCTTTATCCCTAACTCTTTGGCCAACTCGAGCCCTATGATTAACTCGTTGTACTCAGCCACGTTGTTGGTGCACGGTTCTGTCAAAGAAAAGGCTCGGGGTAACACATGGCCGTGCGGAGAGGTGAGGACCACCCCGACTCCTACAATAATAGAACCGCTCATGCCTACATGAGATGCGCCGTTGAAGAACATCTGCCACACCTCTGGTGATGAAGTCACATTGGCTTCAGGGGATTCATCTGGCAGATCTTCAAATAGGTCGGTCTTCGCCCCCAGCTGGTGACTAGCCATAAGATCGCAGATGGCCTGCCCCTTGACCGACTTTTGTGGCATAAAATGGATGTCATACTGAGACAGTAGGAGTGCCCACCTGGCCAAATGCCAATTCAACGCTGCCGGTTGTGTCATGAACACTCGGATGGGGTTCATCCGGGAAATAACATGAATTGTCTGGCCAACCAGGTAGTGCCGCATCTTTTGGATAGCGAACACTAAGGCCAGGCATTCCTTTTTGATCATTGGGTACCGCTGTTCGGCACCTTGTAAGGTTCTGCTCAGGTAGTAGATGTCTTGCTCGTGGCCCGCATCGTCATTTTGTGCCAAGAGGGTTCCTAGAGAATATTCCATGGCCCGTATATATATGAGGAATGGCTTCCCTGAGATTGGCGCCATAAGGACAGGCAGGTTTGAGAGATAAGCCTTGATTTCTTCAAAGGCCTTTTGGCAATGCTCGTCCCACATGAAGGAAGTACCTTTCTTCATTAGCTTGGAGAAGGGTTGACACTTGCTCGAAAGATTTGAGATGAACCTTCGGATGTAAGCCAATCGTCCCTGAAGCCCTCTTAGCTCTTTAAGGTTTCGGGGCGGTTGAAGCTCTTGAATAGCTCGCACCTTGTCTGGATCAATCCGGATTCCTTTCGTCGTGACGACAAAACCGAGGAATTTGCAGCTAGACATCCCTAAGAATGACTTAGTAGGATTCATCTAGAGTTGATGGTTCCTTATGAGTTCGAACATTGCCCTCAAGTCTTGAAGGTGGTCCTCCTTATGGCCACTCTTCACGACCAGGTCGTCCACGTAGCATTCGACCGTCTTTCACAGATGATCTCGAAAGATCATACTCATGGCGCGTTGGTAGGTTGCGCCAGTGTTTTTGAGTCCGAAGGGCATAATGGAGTAGTAGTACACCCCCATAGGGGTTCTGAATGAAGTGTGCTTTTCATCCTCGGGGTGCATTTTGATTTGATTGTATCCCGAGAAACCATCCATGCAGGACATCCTTTCGAATCCGCACGTGTTGTCAATGATGACATCCGTGATGGGTAGGGGAAATTCATCTTTGGGGCACGCAGCGTTAAGGTCCCTAAAGTCGATGCAGATGCGAATCTTACCGTTTTTCTTCAGGACCGGAACAATATTGGCCACCAAGTCGGGGTGTTGTTCTTCCCTGATGAAACCGGACTCAATCATTTTCTTCACTTCGGCCTCAATCGCCTCCATGATCTGAGGGCGAAACCGCCTCTGCTGTTGCTTGACTGGTTTGGCGTCTGGGCTGATGTTGAGGCGATGCGTGGCGACCCGTGGATCCAGACCGGGCATGTCCTCGTAATTCTATGCGAAGACGTCAATGTATTCCCGTATGAGGGCAATGAGGTCCTCTTTTTCCTGTGGAGACAAACTATCACTAATGAATATGGGTTTGGGATTCGCCTCACTACCCATGTTCACCTGGAGGATTTCGTCTTCGGTCGGTGGTTCACGTTGCTCAAAGCGACTGTTCCACTGGGCGTTAACATGGCGATCCCACGTCTCGTCATAAAGTGGAACTTGTCCATCCTCCGCCATTTCGGCGGGGTCTATCGTAGCCATGTTGACCGTAAGGCTATCGAACAGATCCCTCATGCAGACATCCGAGTCCCATGCCGAGGTTGTTGACGATTGATCCCCCAAACACGCATAGTCGGAATCCTCATTAGCGTAAAAACACAAATCCGACGAGGAGGAGGAGTAGCCTAAGCCTCTCCGAGTCCTATTGAAGTAATTTGAGGGTTTCCCTTTGGGTACGTAAGTGGGTTGGATGACCATTTTGCATCCTTGGCCGTAATTTAGGCCCTCCAAACGAGTGAGGTCATACCCCATTTCGCTCATCATGCGCTTCGCAACTTGACTGTATTGCGAAAACTGAGGCGCTGGGTCCTCATCCTCAGATTCATCCTATAGCGTGCGTAGGGGATGATCGATTCGACCGAAGATAATATCTTTTTAATAATTATTCTAGGCTGGCACAACGAGCACAGCTTACGATGACTTGATCGGCTGTGCCTTGGCAACGTATGACGAGCACACTGGCAATTACAGGGAAGGGTTATTATAGAGTTATGACCATAGGTTATTGGGCGCATCATCCTCGGATATGGAGCAAGACGACAAATAAGCAAAGTTGGACTTCTTATTCATGATAATTTCCTCCGTCCGAACAGCGTTGGTTACATTGTGACTCTCGTAACTCGAAGTCATTTAGGATTAAGCTATTGCCGTACTCAGGCTCGCTGTCTGCCTCATTGCCGACCACTACCGTCTTCACTCGCTCGTAATTGTCCACATACTTCAGGCACTGGTGTAACGTGGACGGAACTATTCGGTTGCTATGGATCCACGGACGTCCCAAGAGTATGTTGTAGGAAGGCTCGGGGTCGATGACGTAGCATGTCACCTCCGTCTTCATGTCGCCTATTCGACATTTCAGGCGGATTTTTCTGAGCGACCGAGTCCCCGTGGCGTTAAAGCCAAAGATGGTCGTTGTGGTCGAGGATAGGCACTTCGGCGGTATCCCCAAGTGTTTGATCAATTTCAAAGGCACGATACTCAACGCGGAACCTGGATCGACCTGAATTCTATCCACTTTCGACGAACCGACGTACCCCGTGAAGTATAATGGTCGGTCATGAGATGTGCTCTTGATGAGCATGTCCTCCGGAGTGAAGGTGATGCATGGAACCCGTCTCTCTGTGATTTGGCAACACGCTGCACATTCCTATTCTGCGTCCTCCTCCCTCGAGAAGTGGGTGGAGAAAACCTTCGAGTCGGCCAGTGCCTCTTGCAGAACTTCCCTGGTAGGCCTGGATAGCCGTAGGAGATCGTACATAGTGATTCGCGTAGGGATGCTCTTTAGCTGCGCGAGCACATTGAACTGGAAATGCTAGCGGCTAGAGCCTAGTCTGTCTGGATCGGGAGGGGCTGTTGCGGTTGGCCTCGTGGGAGGTCCTGCCGAGTTCTCCGCCCTCACGGGATATTCATTTGCGAATTCCTTCCCTGCTCTTGTGGCGAGTGATACGGGTGTATCTTCTCTTCGGAACTTAGAGATCCTCATGGGAGTTTGAGGATAGATGATTCTCATGCTAGCATGAGAATAGAGGTGTCAAACAATATAAGGGAACACAGGAGAAAGCGTGGAACGAGACGACGAGCAGAAGAATCGAAGTACCCAGTTTTTAGCCTGTGAGTCAACTCATTACAGTCATGAGTCGACTCATCATGGTGAGTCGACTCATGACTGTCATGAGTCGTCTGTCGAGTCAACTCATCACAGTCATGAGTCGACTCATCGAGGGTTTCCTGGTTCGCTTGGGATTCTGTTCACACGAATTCCTGTTGGTTTTGGGTCTGGTTATTTACCAAACTGTCATCCACGTTTGTACACCTATATAAGGGATTATTTTAGGGTTTCTAAACATTTGGGAGATCAGAGAGTTTAATCAAGAGAGATAAGATTCTAGATTGAGATTTGGAGAGCTTGTTATTTAATTCTAGAGTGAGATTGTGAGGGAGAGATTGTAATATTTTGTTCTTCATAATCTAGAGAAGATATTTTCCTTCGCCAAACTGAATTGTTCTTGTGTTTTGGTCGTCCTCTTCTCAACCCACCTTTTGGTAATTCCGTGACCAAAGGGTACTCACACGGCAACTCGTATCAAGTTGGTATCAGAGCATCAGATCCGGTGAAGGGGCATCCTGTGTATGGTCATTACTCGATCCCAATACAAGGAGCTTGGCGAGATCCTTGGAAGGAGTCCAAGATTTAAGGAAGGAGAAGATGACTGAAGGAGACAATTCAGCGAGGATTGATGCATTAGAGAAGCAGAACGAGACGATAGGTTCGACTCTCACACAACTCGTCAGTCTTATCCATGGAGGTGGCAAACAAGATGAATCTTATTTGAAGAAAATTGTTGAGTCTGATGTGGAGAGAGTAGATTCAGATTCCGACGAGGAGGAGGAGACCGTTAAGACTGCATTGCATCAAGGTGGTAAGAATTCTTATCAGAACCTAAAGATTGACTTTAAGGTCCAGATCGAGCGGATGGAGACGTATTTTACTCTTTATGGCTATTCGTTGAAAGAGAAGATTGTGTTCGCGACTTTGAAGCTTTCAGGGCACGCGTTGACGTGGTGGAAATCCTACTACAAGCAGGAGAAGAAGGCGGTGTCATAGAATAAGTTTAAGGAGCTACTTAGAAAGCAGTTCTATCCGGTGGAATTTCTTAAAGAACGTTGGTACAAGTGGTACGGCTTGTGCCAAAGGGTCAATCAAACCGTTCAAGAATACACTACGGAGTTCCAACAGCAGGCGATGGTCCTTAACATTGCGACAGAGGAATATTCTGTGTTTATGAAGTATATGGCGGGATTGCATTGCGACAGAGGAATATTCTGTGTTTATGAAGTATATGGCGGGATTGAGCGATCACATCCGAAAGGATATGAGGCTATTCACGGTGGAATCAATTGCAGAGGCGAGCATGAAGGCAATTACCATTGAGGGTAGACAAAAGAAGGGTAACGAGGCTAAGGGAGACTCCAAACAGACGGGAGGCGAGTCTAGTGGTTCTCAATCTAAGGAGGAGAAGAAAAAGGGTGATCCAGGGAAAGCAGGGCTGATTTGTAATCACTGCGAGAAGACATGGCACGAAGCTGATCGGTGTGGGAGAAGTATCCTCATCTCAAGCCAAGAGGGTTGAAGAGGAAGGAGGAGAAAAAGGCATACATGATAGCTCAAGGTCCGAAGGAAATCCCGGGGATGACAGAGCCCAACAACAGTCTCAACCTTATGGCGGGAAAATAGGCCACGAAAGAGGACGACGACCTGAGAGAGCAACTCTTTGTTCTTAGGTTGCAAGTGAAGACCAGTTTGGTTGATGCCATTGTTGATTCGGGTAGCGAGAAGAATTTGATATTCGAGGCATTGGTGCAGAAGTTAGGTCTGAAGACGGTCAAGCATCCGAAGCCCTATCCATTGGGGTGGATTTAGAAGGAGGAGAAACTAAGTGTAGTTGATCAATGCACTGTCAGATTTGCGATCCACGAGTCGTATATTGACGAGGTCACATGCGATGTCGTTCCATTGGATGTTTGTCAGATTATACTGGGCAATCCGTACTTATGGGATAGATATGCGATCTACGAGAGACGGGCTCAGAAGTACACCTTCACTAAGGATGGTGTAAAGTTCATATTTCGTTCGACATCTCTTCCGAAGGAGACAAGCTTGGGAACGGTGACGCGAGCGAAGAGACTAGTGAATGCAAGCAAGAAGTTTGTCTCGCTGTGCATTAGATTTCCAGAAAAGC